GGAGTCGGAGTCGGAGTAGGAGTAGGAGTAGGAGTAGGAGTAGTACTAGTACTAGTACTACTAGCAGTAGCAGTAGCTAGTAGTAGGAGTCGTGGTGGTGGTGCTGGTGCTGGTGCTGATGTTGGTGCTGGTGCTGGTGCTGGTGTCTTGGCTTGGTTGGTTTGTTGGCGGGTTGGTTGGCTCGCAAGTTGATAATGTTGTCTTTGTTGTTATTGCTTTATTGCTGCTGCTGTTGCTGTTGCTACTACTACGACGACTAGTACTTCTACTATAACCACTCATTCCTTTACTTCTGCTGTTGGCGTTGGTACAGGAAGACATAGGTTGCTCTAACATCCCACCCTTAGATCCCGAAGCCCAATACTCGATCCTGTCATTTGACAGCACTCGATTCTAAGCGCGGCTTGGTGCGAGCAGCGACTTCTACGTGGGCGCCTGCAACTATGGTGGCTAAGTTCGCATTATTGAGGTCGTTGCAGACGCATCGGAGTCGACATGTTACTGATACTTCGGTCAGCAAGATCTTTTGATTTGAAGGCAAGGCTCTTCTTCTTGCCTCGTACTTTCAAATTGGACCAGTACATCGTCTTGTTGTCGTACAGCCTCGTCCTGCCCGGGTAATATTAGCTAGGTTTGGGTTGGGTGGTTGGGGACGGCAGCTGTCCTGACGTAGTTCGGAAACTTGGCACAGTGAAGCTTCACACCACTGATGCGTTCCCTTAGGTGGTCAAGTTGCTCATTGCTTCACATAAAGGATAAACAATGAGTCTCACCGTAGCTCGAGTGTTGTGCAAAGGTGCTCTGACCAGTTCAGATCATGCATGTCCTCCTCCGTGAGGAATTCGTAATCTTCTTCAACCTCTAGTTCATCGATCTCCTCCACCAGCTTGCGGCATTTGATCGTGAATTTTCCTCGTCACAGACTAGGACGAGATCCCTATGATGGCGTACAGCAGTACTACTAAGTTCTCAGACTAGAATCCTACGTCCCACGCGCACTTCTCGAAGAGGTGTACGACGTTGTGCCGTGTTTCTTTGTTGACACAATCTTTGCGTACTGACTCCGGGATGAGAAAGCTGCCGTCTGCTCTGGGCTTCATAACACGATAGATGCGTTTGTAAACGGCACCTTCTGTTGGCTCGTCTGGAAGCTTCGGTGGCTGGGGTTCGTTCTCGGATGGCTCATATACTTCATCGCGTGCGGCTGGAAGCTTCGGTGGCTCGGGTTTGTTCTCGGCTGGCTTGTGTCCATCTGGCTCGGCTTCGTTCTCGTCTGGCTTGCGCTCGGGTTCGTTCCCGGCTGGCTTGTGTCCAGGTGGCTCGGGTTCGTTCTCGGCTGGCTTGTGTCCAGGAGCTTCCTCGTATGTCGACTCGAGCAGCAAGCAAAGGTCTGGGCGAGCAGGCGGCCTTGCGTCCCCCTGGCTGGTTGAGGTCTCGGGTCCTTTCTGGGCGGGTCTGGTAGCTGGCTGTTCAGTCTTCATGTTGGCTGCTGTTTGGGGCGCTTGGTTCTTGGTGGGCGCTGTCTCGGGTCCTGGCTGCTCGGGTCTTTTAGCCGGCCTTGGTTTCTGGTCGGGTGCTGTCGTGTCGAAACTTTGCGTGGCAGCGCCTTGGCCCTTTCCACTCCGGGGTGTTGTCTGGCCCCTACCAACACCGATTGGGTTGGGACTCTGTGCAGGGGAAGGGACGACAGGAGCAACCAACCCGGCTTGCTGTCGAGCAAGGTAATGCTCATTCCACTGCGGGGTGCCCTCCGGGTAGCCTTGCGCATCCTCAGTGTCAGGGCCGCAAATCCAGGGCAAAGAACCATGTCAAGCACGGCACGAAACTAACCACACTAATCTGTGGGAAAAACACTGGCCTCAAGAGTAGCTTTCGGAGTCGGCTTCGGGGTCCCAGTCCAGGAAGGAGGTAGCGAAAGAGGTGTTTTGGACTGCGTTGGGGTCCTCATGAAAGGAGTCATCCTGCTGATGCGGGGGGTCGCGAAGGTGTCACGTAGTGTGGCGGTTTGGCTTTCGAGAGTCATCTGAGGCTGGACTGGAACACTGGCTGTTGGGGCGGCAGTGACTGGGCCAGGCTGCTGCGGCTGCTGCGGCGTCTGGGCCGGGGTTCGCAAACCTGGACTTGCATTTGGAGTCTCCATTGCCTGTTCAGGGCTCAGCATTCGATAGGGCGAGGCTAGGTTTAGTCTACACAGACCCCAACTCTCTAGACCACTCGTTGCACACACCACCACCACCAAAGTTACTGCCTCGAGTGCAGCCAACTCATCCTGCATCAGCTCGATATTCTCTTCTTCGACACCATGTATATGTCGAAGGTCCATGCTACCCTGTTTCCCCACTAGGTCAAGACCCCGCAGCAACGTGCTTGATGACCACGTGTGGGTCCCGAAGTGAGACATCATGGCTGGGCGAGCCACAGACACGAGAGCTTCATGTTAATAGGATACTCGGTGCCTAAGTACGGCCTCGCCAAAGCGTTTCAGCTGGACATACAAATATAGAGGGCGGTTTGAGATGACTTGGATTACAGGGTTTTGGGGCGTCCGCATAGATCCGCCCACTTCCCGGCAAGTTCCGCCCACTTCCCGGCAGTTTCCGCCCACTTTTTTTCCTAGCCAAATCCTAAAATGCAGGACAAAAATGTTTCGAGCCTCAATATTCTGCTAAAACAGTACAACAACCCGAAAACTGAGATGGCCCCTGCTGCTGAATACAAAAGGAACTACCAAGACGTGTCAACCGGACCTAAAAAATAATACCTCAAAATAAGCTATGCTATTGAGGTATTATTTTATAGGTCCGATTGTCACGTCCTGGTACAAAAGGAGAACGGCACCCTGAACCCTCAACTAAACCTTTTCATTCTACCACATCCACGGCAGCAACCTCATGAAGCCCGAATGCCCCCTAAGCCTAACCTTTGAGTCGCACCAAGCCCACTTTAGTTATGTCATAAAGCCCACTTTAGTTATGTCATAAAGACACATGCCCCTAATTCCTAATCCCTAAACCATTAAACTTGTGGCCACACCAAGCCCACTTGAGCAGCCTCATCCAGGCCGAATGTCTCGAAGCCCCAAACCCTAAACTGCAAGCCCCCTTTAGCAATCTCATGAAGCCCGAATGCCTCTTAAGAGTGACTTGGCCAGTGGGAGTAATCCTTACCCGAATACAACGAAGACTTTGGTACAAGCCTGCTAAACATAATTGTCTTGGAAGATGACTAATCTGTAATTACTGCTCTGGCAATACTGATGAAAGTGGCGATGGCTAGCCTTATTAAATGAGCACTGTAGCTACTAGTCTTCCAGCTAGCAACATCCTACGTACATGCGTGCCCACGTAATGCAAACAAAACCTACACAACACGGAAGCCCTGGCACCGTTTTAGAAGCATGCCTTGACGACTCCTTGCTAGCTTGCAAAGATCCTGTTGTTTGCTGCATAATTACGAGCCGTGCAGAGACCCTACCTTGTCCTCCCAGGTAAGTATGGTTCGGCTTCTGAGCTGCAGACGTGCTGAGTTTTGCATAAGCTAGGCAGTACGACTCTTGCGTTAAAACACAACTTCGGGAGAGACAGGATTGAATTGTTGTTGCAAGGCAGCACAAGCAGGCTTCGAATTTGCTTGCAAGGCATTGCACGAACTCAGTTCTCACAAGCACTTCGGAATTATGCATCGGTACTCTTCAGGGATGCGAAGATGCTTGCTATTACGTACATAAGTAAATGCTTCTAGCAGGTTTGCGTCGGGCCACAGATCAGAGAACTCCATCTTCTTGATGACATCACGAAGATCTCCGGCTGGCATCGGGGCCTGAAGCTCTACTACCCGAGAAGAACTTCGATGATAAGTCTCGGCGCTGAAGATTCGCTAACAAATGACTCGAAGCTACAGCAATAACATTTATGTATCTTGTACGAACATTGGTGAATACCTTCGAAAGCAACGCCCAGCCCGAACCCAGAACTTGACTTGCTCTGTAAACTGTTCAAGCTCGAAACACGTAATCGCCTAGCATGTGGAGCCATGAGTAGTTGAAACCGATGCACCGGAAACCACTCAAGTTTGTCTGGAAACGGAAACAGCCAAAGTATCAGAAATTGGATTTCTGATATTTTGGCTTTGGGCACCCCACCCCACCCCACCCCCCCCCACAACGAGACTAGGTTGCAACAACAAGGGTGTCCCAAAACGCAAAACGCTCCCAAAACGGAGCCATGAGAGAGAGA